AACCAATTTATTACTCTACATGTTCATGCAAGAATTAAAAACAATAAAATGTTCAATACAAAGTAATCTGTTTAAATAGCAGCAAAAAATTGAGCTATTAAATTAGCATATAAGCTATAGAATGTGAGGCGAAACGTGACATGTCGTTGTTAATTCCATGAATCTATCGTCAAGTTGTGCAAAACTGAACATGACCCAATTGGGAAGCAAAATAATGTCTAAACCAATTTTCGTTAAAAGTCAACCAAAATATTCAGCGAACTCTTCAACTTCCTTAACAACTTCCCTATAATTTTTGTATTTTAACTTTGGTTATTGTCAGTCGCACAATTTCGTATCTCCTGAAGTTAGCATGAAAGCACTGAGCCATAAATAACAAGCGATGAACAATAGTAAGTTGCTACATTTGGAGTTGTCCCTTACAATATTATCATGAGGAAACTCGGCAAAAAGCTGAAATAAATCTGGTGCAACAAGTGTTGACTTGTGATAAACAAACTATTAGACCGTCATGTTTTAACAAAATGGCTTATTGAACAAAACGGGATATGGGAGGAATGTGTCTGGCATGATAATAGAATGCGGTGTGAGGMTGAGTGATAAGGTTTTGACCTCAAAAGAGTGAGTTTCCTGAAAGAATCTATAAAGAAAACAGGTAGGAAAACTATGAAAAGTTTCGCTCAGGAACATCCTTGTTATCCTAGGAAAAATGCAAAGGATGTTTATTAGTGCTGAAATCCTGAATTATGCAAATCTTAAACGTATTCTAATTCCTATGTAAATTATTCTATTGTGCTCATGAGATGAAGATATGACGGCTCGTATTCTTCACTTCAGAAGGGTTGAACGGCGTGAAAAGAATTATACGAGGGAGCAAAATGATAAAAACGAATCATCTCAACTTCCGCTTGATTATTTTACTTTTTCATAATTATTCCAGTTTCGCTGTCATATATTCAAAACAAATTTTTTGTTCAATTCGGTAAAAATGCAATTTAAAGTTCACTTGGAGACCTTGCATGTGGATTCAAAACGATCACTAAATCAAATTGTTTGCAATTTGCCCAACTTTCTAGCTATCGCATGCAATTTGCTTCGAATCTAAGGCAAAAACATGACTATTTTGTTTCACAATTTCTCACAGGAAATCTCCTTTTCAACGCGCTTTAGTTTTTGAGCAAGAATCTCAAAGGTATTTATTTAACTACACTAATCACAGGAGGATAGGTGTGTTGGGGTTGGCATACCACTGATTACATGCCAACCCAACTTTAGCTSATCCAAATATTCAAGGCTGAAACGTAGAACATTCTTTAGAAATTCCCGATTATTAGAATATTCCAACAAAGAGTCAATAAACTGTAACTGGAAATTTATTAATTTGTTGCTTTAGAACCATCATAGTTGAAAATGCTCGTCATTGATATGATTCATAAACTATTGTTTATTTAGGAAGCAAATAGTTGAAACGTGAAATATGAGTTGCACATTTTCTAATAATTTTGAGAACAAACGTCAATTCAAATTAGTTGACTCACCAGACGTGTGTTCCAATAATTAAAATTGGRCKTTGCCATTTTGCTTTATTTACTTTTAATGGAATTCATGGACGGTGAACTTGACTGATGAAACCAGAAAATTACATCCTCATATTGTTGAAATATCCTTCAACAATGACTTTTTGTCGCTAATTCGCATCCTCGCTACTCGAAATATAATTTCATTAAAAACAACTAAGGCAACAGTCCTAAAACAGGATGTTTTACTACTTTCAAGTGTTTCCATTTAATTAACCATGTAATTTACACAMTGCCAATTACAAAATGCCATATTCGTGAACGGATTAGTAACACTCCAAAACCGTTTTAGTAACATAAATCAAGTTTGGACATTAAATTGCTGTAAAGTCAATAATTATATGACATCAGAGAAATTAACCATCACGTGATTAAACTTGATCCATGTTATAACCGGGTTATAACGGTTACCATTATTTATTTAATTGGTTTGACAATCAGGGTCA